GAGTCTTCACAGGGTTCTCAGCAAGAGTCTTCCCAGGGTTCTCAGCAAGAGTCTTCACAGGGCGGTTCTCAGCAAGTGTCTTCACAGGGTTCTCAGCAAGAGTCTTTACAGGGTTCTCAATTAGAGTCTTCGTAGGGTTCTCAAAAAGAGTCTTCATAGGAGTCTCAATCATAGAGTTCTCAATTGGAGTTGCAATGAGATTGTCAATGGGACTCTCAATCTCCGACGGAGCTGTTACAAGATTTATCATTACTGCCTCAGGATTCTTAATTGGATTTTCAACCACGGTGTTAGAGGTATTTGTATTTGTGGTTTCAATGTTATTCACAGGTGGATTCACTCGAGGAGACAGCGGAGGAGTTGGAACAGGAGCAGGAACAGGAGTCCCAGCAGGAGACTCCGCAAGAGGCTTAATACAAGTGTCATTAGTCATCATCATTGAGATCTCCAACTGCTCTGCCTGGACTACAGCTTGCTCCAATAGATCGATTTGATCTTCAACAATGACTCCTGAAACAACGGTCGGATAAGTGACATATTGACCAAGTTTTGAGGAGAAATAAATCCATACAAAACAACTAACCAACCGCATCTGCATCCGACACGTTTAGGATGTCATCTGATTCCAAACATGAACTGCAAAAATCAAATATTGGTGAAAGTTTAACGAGGGACAGACCAAACCTTTACATTAGAAACGATGTATGTTGATCCAGCATGGTGAGAGCACAACTCTATGGAACATTACCCCGACTTCTTCTTATTCGGAGGGGGCGAAGCAATCAGCATTACTTCATCGTCGTCTTCAATAAAATAGGTATGAACACCGAGTTTCCTTTTGGGAGTACCCATTCTTGTTGAACCAGTCGCGTCAAAGGTTCGAATGGGCCAGCCGGCTCCAACGGACAGGTCGAAACAACCTGTGTTTGGTACACTGCTGTCACTTGTTGACGCCATACCGCCCCCACCCCACACCCCGGATTGGGAAGGGGGAGGGGGTAAAAAAATAAAATAAAAAAATACTGAGTTGGCATTCCCTTCACTCCTGCGAAATCAATTAATCAATTCAATTAATTAATATTTATTTCTTTATCGTTTGCGGATACAATGCTTATCTTGAACAAAGTAACTGTGTGGAAAGAGAAATAGAAGATGAAGGTTTAGCTTAATTGATATTTTTTAATTCAAAAAACAGAATTTCATAACATTTCATAGAAAAATGTAAGGCGGGCAGTCATGATATCCAGAGAAAAAAGACTCATAAGGTAGATATACAAACTTCAACAGATTAATACGCAACATCAGTAAAATGGCACTTGACTGTAGTCAAAGAACAAATCAAAACAGGTATAATTCAAAAGAATTAAAAAGAAAAAGTACTTATGTGGTAGGATTAGGCAACCATACCAGGTTGTAACGAGACAAGATTCAAAAACACAGGCACTTCTTTTGGCACAATAAGAATCACAGCATTGATTTAAAATTGAACAAGAACATCAAACAACATCCAACAAATTCATAGTTTTATACATTAATATCCTACTTAAGCACAACAAATATATATGGCTGCCTTAGATATGGCAAAGTATGGCACTGAATGAATAGTTCGCTATTTTATGATGAAACTTTCCTTCCATTTAAAGCTTTTGCAATTAACAAGTTGATGACGTTTTAAACATTAACTTTTATTATGACACTTTGCACATATCTTCATACTGTAAGTCGTTATCATTGTCAGAGCCAGTGGCAAGCTGACCCCCCTGAAGCACATTGTTTACAACAGCACGGGCAAGATAACCTGTTGTTATAGAATGAGGAGCTGAGAAAAACTTTGAATGATCTTTTGAAACCGGAACTTTATGATCCTGAAATTAATTCCAGTCATTAATGGTCTGATAGAATGTTACACATTTTCAGTTACCCTAAGTAAAAAAATAAATTTTGATATTTCAACTTACCTTACAATACATGTGGAAAGCCTCAGTGACTAGCTCATCTAAATCCAAATGATTCTGGAAAGTTAACTCTGGGTTTCGCAGCAAAATTGTAGATATTATACAGAGCAGCTTGAGAAAAAGTAATAAGGTACACATAAATGAAACATGTGAGAGTACAAAAAACCCACAATACTGTACTTCAGGTTAGTCCACTTACTTCAACAACCATCTGCCTGTACGCAGGCTCCTGAATATGATTAAGCATCTCCTCTACCAGAAGAGCAAAGTTAAGCTCTGAGCGGGTCATACTGGAAAGAGTTGGCTGAGCAGGCAAATTGTGACCTTGTACTTGGAGGCCACCAGGAGTTCGAGTCATGACATCCCAGACGCGATTGTAGAAATGAGAAGGAACTCGACAAAGACATCCTTCCAGCTGCCTCCTTTGCATTGGTGTCAGACTGAAAAGTAAAGTAGTTCATGAGGATGGGTAGAAAGATAATAAATTTTGAGTTTCGTATGTAATTTTCAGTAGCATTTGGTAAAGATTAGATTTATATCTACATACTTTTCATTTGATGCCCAATCCTTCACAGACAAAACTTTATGAAGCAGTTGACGAACCTGGTAAGGACTATGATTTTCTAAAGACTTGCCGTCTTGCCCTTGCATTTGCAAGTATAGTTTCATCGCTTCTAGCACCCACCTAAAAGTTGATTTTATGTATGATGTGGCAAGTAAACATGTAAAATATGTGGTAACAAGATAATAACTTGTTTTCATTGAGCTTACCCTACTCTAATTTTAAGAATTCCCTTAAACATTTCTGGATTTGTTGCAATAAGACGCCCACAATAAAGGACAACTTCTTGTTGTAATACTGCCTGAATGACATCATAAGGCTGAATTCGATGGTACATAATGGACTGAATTTCTGCAGGGGTTAAGGGCTTGTCAAAAACTGTTTCCTGGTGACCAATTGCACCAACTGTGAGCTAAGTAAAAAAAGTAGAGTATGAGTTATCCAAATTGGATACATTAAAATACAAAAAATTATAATCATATGAGTAGTTTCTACCTGCTTTCCATTAACAAGCACAGTTGTTATGAAAGGACTTATGCTATCAACAGTGTGGTGAAGCAAACTACTGCAGTATCTTACAGCAATCCAGTAATGTAAGCCACAAGCCTGTTGGTAAAGACTTCTTAGGTGTTCAGCGACTATAAAAGAGATATCACATTAAATACCTTATAAGAAATGAAATTTACGGATATAGAAAATAAATTTACCAGTAAGGCCGTTGACGTCATAATTTGGGCCTTCCCTTTTCAGTAAGATGCCAAACAGTTGGCATTTTCCATGCAGACCAGGTGATCCTCTGATGGCATCAACTACTTCCCAGATAGGTTTAGTTTCCAGGTGCTGAGAAGTGTGTTATAAAAAGGTGTTAAAAGTGGTTAAAAACAAGTTTAGAGATTACTTGCCTTTTTTATGCCTGGTATTTTCATTTACCTGAAAGTTTGCACTGTCTTCTGAATAATTAAGCGATCGTGGAACATCTGTTAAGCTCTGATAGCCTATATATTCATGTTCCAATTGCTTAAATTGTTCAAATACCATTTCTGAAGTGTCAACTGTGTTCATGAAATCCAAGTGCTCTGTAGAGTCGAAGAGAAATGCATAGAAATCATCCAAACAAGAGAAAACAAACAGAAAAGAATTATCCCACTTCTACAATTCAATTTTATGGAGAAAAATACTACACACATACCTATACATGAGGATGCAATCAAATTTTGCAATCTTCCAATGCGCACTTTAACACTGTCGCAGTATCCCTTCTTTAACATAGCCATAAGGTCCAACATTTCCTTGAACTGAGGATCCCTATTTACAGAATGTGTTACTACAGCATAGGTACTCTGTATAGATGGGGATTGTAGTAAGGTTTCCACATTTTACTGACCTCATGTGCTCCTCTCTAATAAGCAAACATACAGTGGGGCGTCCAGACAAACGCCAATAGCGGCCGACAAATTGCAGTTCCGTTTTGATGTCATCAATCAGTAAAGCCATGTCACTGTATAGGTAAAACTCGGATACTTCAAATATGAGTGGATAGCAGAGAACCGTCATGCCACACACACGGTACATCTACAAAACAAAAATCAAATACACATTAGCAGTGTAGATGATAAAACCACAAATTAGTAATAAAGCATTACTTATTTTGAGAAACGAGATTTAGAATAACTTCACCTTGCTTGTGCCAAGGGCTCCAACAGGACGCATAGGTCTACCCTTCAGACCAATTTTGTGGTTTACACCCAAGTTTTGATAAACTTCTTCTAGCTTCCGGGATGACCATATCTGAACAGGCTCAACTTCGTGAGGTGTCTGAGTTTGAATACCATAAGTGGCCATCATTGCTTGCAGGCGCATAGACTCAGCTATGAGTACAATCTGAACAACTAAATCTGTGGCAGTCCCCTGTAAAATCAAATTATCTCACTGATTTGATCAAAACTAGACTTAATTCTTCTCGCAATTAACTGTAACACTTTTCAAAAGTGAGATACAAATTTACATTATGAGTAGTGAGATACTTACAGTTGATGGCTTAGCCTTAATCCAACCACACATAAGTAAAGCAAAGAAAAGATAAAATATTTACTTCTAGGAACTTTTAATTAAACTAACAACCACCCACAAAAACTTTATGTCATCATAATAACTACTACCATAGAGAGTAAGATTCATAAAATTGTGTGCTTAAACTGCTGTGGACAGCTGACACGTAAAGTTAAAGTGACTCAAATAATCACCTGGAAAGCTGAATATCGGCCACCCTTACGAGGGCGATTAAAAGATGGTAAGTATCTTCTAATAGGATCCAGCTCATTTATGTGCAACAAACCTCCCGTTAAGAGTTGGGCAATTACAAGCATAGCTTGATTCCAAAGATATAAGCCACCATCTCCTCCCCTTCCCTCTTCACTGGGCAGCCTTACAGAAGTACCAGGTTCCTGTTTTTCAATATCAACATTTTCCTCAGGAACATAAAAATACATGGGAATAACAGGATCTGTAAAAAATAAATAAAAATAAATATAAGAATAAGATTTTGACCTTGACCAAACACTTAAGTCGATGTAATACAACAATTACTGAACATGAAGAAATTAAAGCAGACCTCCATTCATATCCTTCTTTATGCGTGGCTTCAAAAGATTCTGGTATTCTTCTACTTGGTCTGGTTGGGACTTAAATACACCATCAATGATCATAAAAATATAGAAAAGAGGCCATTCGTTTTCTATGCTTTCAAACTCCTGTAAATTAGTTGAAAGAAATTTATAATCCTTCAAATGTACATGTTGATAGGAAAGCTAAAAACTCAAAATTTACGTAAAATTAACCACCTTTGTCTCTCCTTCTTTATAAAATCGGCGGGAGGTGTCTTCCAGGACAGACTTGTAACCATCCCTTCCAAAACGTTTGAAACCATACTGTCCTTTGAGCTTACGCACAACGTTAGCCTTTGTCTCAGTGCTTAGTACTTCTTCATGAGTTGCAAAAGCTGGGAATGATATGGTAGGAATCAAGGATGCATCCACAGCCTAAAGTTTTTTTAGATGAATTTTCATGTTAAATAAGATAGAACAATACTAAGGAATAAAATGATGTAGGTAATATGAAAGATGATTGACCTTGGAACTTGATTCCCTGGGTAACATTGTCTCAAATATACTTCGGTTTCTATTGTGAGCATCGATGTCCACATAAATGACAGACCATGAGGCACCCTTTTCACCAAATAAATTACATCCATTTATAGCTTCTAAAGCACTTTTTGCCATACCAATTGAGCTAAAAGACAGTAAGACAAGCATTAAAATTCAATTCGAACACAAAAATCTATTCCAGCAATTTACATTAAACAACAATATTCCGTGAATACTTTTCAAAACATAAACATGAAAACTGACCTTGCATGTATTTCTGGAGTACCATCATTATATTTACTACCACGTTCCCACATGCCATAATCTGGAGTGCGGTAGGCACGCTCTACATAATAAACCAGGTTTTGGACAAATGCCACCTCATCTTGAGTATAGATTATCTGGAGTCCAGATGTAATCATTTGCACCAGGAATATTAGGTACAATGACACCACATCAATCTGCAAAAAGAGGCAAACAGTAAGAAAATTCAACAAAATACTAATGAGATTCATCCTCTAGTCTTTTGGTACAGTCAATCCAGTCAGTACACTGAAGATTAATTACTTGTAAATGAGTGTACTCATCATCAGAAAGGATGATGTCTCCTGTGATTAGATGAAATTTGCAGTGCAATGCATGCTTGTTGCACTGATTCTTTTTGAACAACTCTATTCTTGGAGCTTGCTTTATCCAGCATTCCAAAATGCCCCTCATACACTTGACAGAGGACTGACCCAGCTCATATGATTTGCCCCTGTCATCATCTATCCTCCTAGAGAATACAAAAACAATAACATAGAGGTATGCAAGCTTCCTCACAAACTTCCAAGCTTTAAAGACAATTTAAATTTATAAGATATGTGGAGAAAGTACCTGTAGGCCTGGTAGAGACTCCAAATTGCAGCAGCACAATATATGCTTTCTCTAACACTAGCTACTTCAGTTTCAGTAGAAACAACTGGAAAGAGCCCAGTGATAGAGCTTTGATACCTAAGTAATTGTCTCTTGACTGAAATTTTAAAAGAACCCAAACATTTATTACAACAATTTATAATAACAACCACTTTACCAAAATAGTCTATCAATTCACAGACCAATTCCATAATAAATGTCCAATTGTCGAACTGTTTCTTCATAATTCGACATTTTCAATTTCAAATCAATGTCCAGCTCACCAATGCTGGGGCGTTGTTGAATTGATCTGAAATATACAAAGAAAGTTAATCACTTTACCCTTAATTATCGCTTCAAATAACTCACCAGTCAGAGATTTTTTGTTTGATTGACTGAAGGTGTTTTCTCTTTTCAACAAGGTCAAAAGCATGCAGCAAAAAGGCAACAAAAAACATGGTCTTCAAAATAAGTCGACAGAGCATGTTAAATTATTGTGGGTGAATAAAAAGCAAATAATTTAATTAGTAAATAAAAAACACCACTGGCACAAAGAAAAAATTGAAAGCCATTCAAATCAAGTAACACAACTCTACCAAAACCAAAATTTATTTTAACTGTTAACTAAGCTACGGGGAATAAAAAAAATACTGTTCTCAAAATACAAACACAAAACAGTAAAAATATGTAGTACCTTTTGGAAAGCATTTTGATGAATAGTTGAAAAAGTGGAATTAAAAGCAAGGTGCGCTACCCTCCAATGTCTTCTAAAGCATCCACTACAAAATTACACCACATTTACTACAGAACACAACCATGTTAAAATATATCCAGATGTCTGAAGCGCACACAACTACTAGACATATTTAAACACCCCACCACCCTGGAAAATGAAAAGAGAGTTCAACGCTAAAAACAAAGTAAGAAAACACCAGATAAAGTGTGACTTTATTAATTGCCCTCGCTGGAATTAAATGTAACAAGCTGTAAGCATCTTAAATATGGCATATTTACAGGCAAAAATATACACAATATAGTTAAATACGGAAGGCACAAAGGAAAAAAAAGAGAATTAATGACCGATATTAGAGCAATAGTATTTGAAATATGTATGTAATTTATGGAACCATTAACCTCAAGAGCACTACACATGAACTACATATTAACAAAATTTCGACGTTGACATAAGTTAAAACCGAAGTTTGAAGAATGACAGATCTTACCTGCAATGTTAAACACAAAAAAACCTTTTCACTATTAGATGCAAAAAGACCTAAACCTCAAGAAAGGTCATGTTGACTTTGGGCACAAGTCGGGAAAAAACAATAACATACGAATCAGCTGGTTGAAGAAGAGGGGAAGGGGGGGGGGAGGGAGGGATTATTTACAACAGGCTGTGCGTGGTTCATGATCTCGCCAACAGAGAGCAGTGCGTTGCCAAAATGAAATATGGCAGGTAAACAAAGTGTGTACATGTAATCCTTTTGTTCCGTGGTAATTCACAATTAGTTTCTGGCTTTTCTAGTTTTCATTAAAAATTTCCCGCGCTGAGCGAATCGTATTGCGTCTTTTATATCTATATGTGCTTAGATAATCTAATCCCCTACACACGCAGTATCGCATCGAAAGAAGAGTTGTTATAAACGACGTTTGAACTTTGGTTAGTAATGAATGTAGCAATGGCATAACTTGTGTATACCGGCTAAAGGCCGGTGACTTATTTTTCGTGTTCTTTTCAATTCCATCAGTTTTAAAGTCATTCAAGTCATAAATTTGTGATGGGAAATATGTTTTACTTGCAGCACTTTCCAACCTAGGGCTAAAAACTCATTTAATTTATGGTGATGAAAATGACTATGACAGCAAGAGCTGTAATGCATTTCTTCATCACCAGTCCAGTTGTGCATTGTCAAAATATCTACCCCTATTGTGAACATAGCTACTCACTAGCATTCAGTGTCATTGTCATTCAGTTTTCGGAAATCTCAGGATGATTTTGCATCATATTCATTATTGTATCATTGCATGATTGGTTTACTATGCTGTATTCATCATTCGTTTCTTTTTGACATGCTTTTTAAAAACAAAAATCTGTTTTGTTGCCCACAGATTTCTGAGAGGATGAGCTTGAAGCGTATAAGAAGACGTCTGTCACAGACTTTCCGTTTTAGCATTGAGGGTTCTCTCTCTGAACTTGCTGAACATTTAACTATTGAAGATGGAGCGGAAGTGAAAGAAAATGGTATGCCAGATTATAAACAACTACTTTGCTTGGTTTGCAACACTCTTGTGCACATGTGATTGTCTAATTACTATTAATTTTAATTTTACTCCTAGGTGTTCACGTTTTACCATCATATGCTGAGTTCAGAAAACTTTCATCATCCCACTCGCGTATTCTTGAAACTGGACATGGAGGAGGTAAGTAGCTATCATAAATTTTTTATTATGAATCTTTTTCCAAGCAATTAGTTGTATGTAATTTAACCACAGAAGGAATACCAAAAGTTAATTGACAAAGTATAAAAAGAAATTTGGGTCAATGACTCTCATGGGTGCTATCACGTTGGTGTGAAACATCTTCCTAGAGTTTGGCAAAAATGTCATTTGCTAGAGGACAGTTTAGAGTATTTTTTTCTTTACCCTGTTGGCATGGTTGGCATGTCGTACAGATCTTCCCCCTCCCTTCACGGTCGTTCCCCCACCACCGCCGCTGGCGGCTCGCGGGTAGCCTACCCAACCCCTGAGTGAGCCTGAGAGTTAGTGGAGAGTGGAGTGCGGTGAACAGCGCACCAGCCCTACTCGTCGGGCCTCTCTGTCCACCCGTTTTATTTATTTTCGGTCGATCTGAGGCATTTCTCGCGCGATCTGGTGCTTCTTTAAAACGTGCGAATTTTTGGATGGGAACGCTTTGGCTTCCTTCGGGGGATCTGTTATTTTCTATCGAGCCCGAGGGGTAGTGCGAAAACAAAAGAAAGGTAGCCCTCGGCCATCAGCAGAAGACGTTTCCACCTGAAAGTCGTTCATTTGTGGATGCATAGTTCCATCAGTGCTCTAGTTTTACTGGGAATGGGAGTTGAATACATAATTTATCAAAGATTCTTAATTTCATACTAAAATATCATAGGAATTTGTTGCCAGCAGATTGTGTTGTCTGCCGTCTAACCTCAAATGTCTGAAACAATTACATGTTTATTTCTGAAGGACTGGGTGTTGTAGCTATACCAAAACAATTCTGAATATTGCAGAGATTGTATATTTGTGGGACATACCTTTGAAATTATTGCTTTCATTATGTTCTTAGTTTAAAAGTCATAGTATCATATTTTCTTTTGTTGGGTTGACAGATTAATTGTAAAATCTGAGCTACTTTTTAAGAATAAGCTTTGAAAGTTCTCATTTCTTTCAACTTCCTTCTCCCAGACCAATATATTCCTGTTCTGATATCAGTGAAGTGAAAAGTGACAAATCTGCAAGTGATTTAAATATCAAGATGCTACAAAACTAGAAAGTGACTTTTTTTTTATCATTCAAACAAGCAAATTAACCATGGATATCAAGGCTCTGCACAAAAGCAGTACCTTCAGTTCTTTCACTGGTGGAACTCATAAAATAAGTAATTGGTTTGCTGCGCTTGGTGAACACCGGCGGAAGTCTTCTATGAAAACATCTAAAAGTCTGACTTTAGGTAAGCTTAAGTAGCTCATCGTAACTTTTCTGTGTTCTTGGTGTGATAATTCTGGAGGTGTGTGATGAAATGAAACACCAAACACCATTTATCTTTTCTTTGGAGTCATGGACCTTTATTTCTTGACAAAAACTTTGTTGTTTGCTTGTGGTGTGCTAGGATAATGAACAGCTTAAGTGTTATGTTCCCCACTTAATTTTGTTAGAAACTGTTCCACTACAATATTGCTTTGTTTTGTCAGAAAAAGTTACTGTCTTAGTTGCTTACGGTTGCTTAGAACTTGCTGCTTGGTCCATTACGACCAAGGACCGTTGTAGAAACCCTGCACAGCCTACAGCCGGGTATGGCAATTTTTTCAAAAACCCAACCCTATCTAAAATTATATAGAACTGACTAAAATTTTAGACCATACCCGTCCGGCCTGCGGTGCCTGCTCATTGGCCCTGCTGTCCTGTTGCCTGCGCTGCACCGGCCTGCAAAGCCTGCAGGTTGCCCCTGCTGTCCTGCTGTCTGCGCTGCACC